CTCTAAAAATAATTCCTTATAGTGGCGCAAGACTACGATACACCAGCCGATAATATAACATTTATTGTCAATTACATTTATGGTGGTTATTTGGCCAAACGTGGCGATCTTCAGCAGAAAATTGACACTTTTACTCAAGCACAAATTAATAACGAGGAGATTTGCTTTTTACACGACTCAACTTCACGACGCAATGAAATGTCATTTATGGTCACAGATGGGCTCTTTAACACCACAGATCAGTTGTTAAATATCGCTATAAGACCTGTGGAGATACTTGAAGAGCGCAACACGAATTTGCACGTCTTTCCGCTCACCAAAAAGCAAATTTTGCGTGATCATTTGTATTTTCGTTGCTCGGATGAGGGACGTGATATTTATTATAACATAACAGTACCGCCGAGTCTGGGACATATCGTGAATGAATATTTGGATAATGGTTTCTCGAAGGAAGTTACCGGCTTTACACAGAACGATATCGATAATGGACGTATCTTCTACGAACACACTTCGATCATAATGGAGTTTCGTATAAACGATTCGTTTTACTTTGATGTGGTAGTCGATCGCAGTGATCGCTTGCTGGATCAAAAGTTCAATGTAGAAATATCCGTTTCTTCGGGTGGTCTACTGCGTTTTTTGCCTGTCTCGAAACTGCAAGTGGACGAAGGTGGTTCGGTGCCAATTAAATTGGACTTCTCCAAGATTTTAGAGTATTTGAAAACACGTGCTGGCATAAATAATCCCGAGTTGTATATAGAAGCAACGCAAAAGCCAATGCATGGTAATATTGGACTCGGACATGAGTTCCAAGAGGTGCAGAAGTTCCAGCCAAGTGACTTTTTGACTAAGAAAGTGTATTATATACACGATCACTCTGATACGCTGGATGATACGATTTTAATGTCGGTGTATCTGTCGCAATATCTGGCGCAAGGGTAAGTGTAGATTTGAGAATCAAACTCGGACAGCTCGACTGAATAAAAGTAAATATTGTGGTAGTATAGATCTCACAAGATCACAATGCGACAGCGGGGATTTTTAATTATATATAGAATTATAACTTTAAAGTCAAAATTTATAGAATAACAATCAGACGGCATATAATAGTTTTGTCTGTTAACCTAAGAGCCTTAGTAGCCCGACAAATTTGATCACTTTTTTGCAAATGACTAACTTCAACCAAGCTTAAGGCTGAAAAAATTCATAAATTTCTTTTTAATTTAACTTTCCATGCACAGCAACATTTTTCTCTGCAACCTCACCGTGCCGGTCTCCATAAAGCCGATCAACGATCAGCCCTTCACACTTGTTACCCACTTTCCACAGATGACCGTGGTGGAAGGAGAAAATCAAACAATTACGCGTAATATGTTACTTACCGAAGACAAAGATACACCACCCGATGAGATCGTCTACGATGTGATGAGTGGACCCACGCTTGGTGTGCTTAAGAAGATCAATAGCGATGGACATGCTGAAGATTTGCTGGCCTATTCGAATCAGTTCACACAAGCCGATATCAATAATGGACGCATTGTTTTTGTACACTTCGGTACACCACAGTCCACGACTTTCTGCTTTACCGTCTCTGACGGACAGTTTAACCCCGCTTATGAGGTATTCACCATAAAAATTGCGCCCATCAGCTTACTGCCAGCAGACTACCAATATCCGGTGCTGGTACCGCAAGGCGCCACCACTACCGTTATGAAGCTGGAACACATCTCTTTGCGCACGAATGTGCAATACGAACGCCTGTCGTACAACATCACCAATTCGCCACTGTATGGCATAATCGTGTATAAGCACCAGCCAACACTACGTTTTAATCAACACCAACTGGAGACGGCACAAATCAATTACATGCAAACGGATCTGAATCGCTCCAATGACACCTTCCAAGTAAGCGCTTATGTGCCGGGCACGATATACACTGCCACAGTGGACGTATTGGTAGCCGTCGAGCCGGTTATCAAAATTACGAATATCTCTATGGTGAACGAATTGGGTAAGGTGCGCTTGCAGTCCGTGCTCGTGGCCGATAATCCGCTCTCGCTGAAGTTGAACAAATTCAATCCGAAGTTTGTCATTACACGCATGCCCACCACCGGGCAGTTACGAAAGATTATACGTAGCACCGGTTTAGCGCCCGAATCGCAAAATGAGCGCTCCACCAGTATGTTTTCGTATAAGGAACTGCGCAGTGGCGTGGTTTACTTCGTACCCAACGAAGCGGTGGAGCTCACGGTGGAGGATATGGATTACTTTGAGTATCAATTGCACATTAAGACCGTGCAACCGGCACAGAGCATAGTCCATATTGAGTATCGTGCGCCGCAGGACACCAGTGGCGATCAAGTCACCATGGCCAGTAGCGAGTTCAGCTTCAATTATGTCGCGCTACTGATAGTGCTGATCGTATTGATCATCTGTATCTTGGTGGTGATGTTGCTACTCAAGATACGCTACCTGCGTCGCGACAAAGCCGACATTTCGAAAGATCAACCACCAGCTTTGCCTTGTCCACCCGATTTGACTTCAGTTAGTCCGCAACATCATCATCATCACCATCATCATCATCACTATGCCAACTCGGAGGCCGACTCAGTGCCTGCCACTGGTGCTTCCACGCCGCTACCCGGTTTCAGTAACATACCACATTGCAAGATTATACCAGTTGAGTCGTACAAACATGATTATCCCGATTATGATCCCGACGAAGGTGATGAAACCGATGATGCTCAGCAAATGATGTTGCCACAGCGTTACAATCCCTATCACATGGAGAATGATACGTGGAGTTCATCCTGCGATATGGCCAACGATTTCGGTGGTTATTCAACGGTACCGCAAAGTAGCGCGCCGACAGCAACACCGCCTTCAGCGCCGGCCAGTAATCCGCTATTGCGTAGAAATCAGTACTGGGTTTAAGTAACCATATGTGTTGGGGGAACTGATTTTAGAATTAAGCGAAGTATGTGCAGTCCGTGGGTGGTTCAGTGCCTTTTGAGAGTTTTATAGTTATTTAATATAAATTATTTGATTATACTTGAGTGACTAATAGAGTTAAGCAAACTTTGTAGCGCTAGAATTTTATACTTATATTTACACATATACTTCCGTATTTATATTGGGTATTTATCTTGCCAATTTTTATAGCTATATGCCGGCCATATTTTCGATACCAAATTTTGTTTTTGAAATTCTGTAGAATATACATTGATTGAGACGAAATAAACAATTATAAATATTTATATACATATGTATATATTTATTAAATAATAAATGTACATTACATATTTAATATTCGAATCTGTAGAAAAGTAAGATTTTGACAATAAATGCATTTCTTTGTGTTTTCTTAAAAAAAAGAAATATGTAAAAATTGTTTTAATTTGTATCACTGTAACAATGGATATCAACATAAAGTTTATAGAAAGCAGTTGAACCTACCTTTTTTCAGTTATTTGACCCAAGAACTTAGTAACATATTTCTATACGAGTATGTATACCAGAAATATCTTGTTTATAGTAGAATTACGACAGATTATCACACGATTTCGTTCTATATCCGAATCATTTCAAACTAGCCGTTATATTATATAAGAAGTTATTTTATTTTTAACTTGATACACCACTAGATGCATTTTATAGCCGTCTACGAAATCCTGCTGATCGGACACAAAGTAAATAAATAATTTTTTCATGAGCTAATACATCAGAAAATCATTGATAGCGTTTCGAGTTTCGTATTTCTGTTCATCCGGTTAACTCGAAACACACTTTACTCATTCCTGGCAATACATTTAGTGTGAGATAAATATGAGATTAAAAGGAAAAATAGTCGGCTCATTCCCAGTACTAATGGAGACGGTGGTAAAAATAGTTTGTTCAGGGGCTACTTTTAAAATTTTTTTTTGAAACACGATCAAAAAATTCCTGGACGATGTCAGAAATAAATAGAAGTTGAGGAATAAAAGTCAATGCTACCTGACTAGCTATCCAGATCTCTAAATTTGGCTTCCTTGACTTTTCTTTGTTTGATTTTTTGAAAAGCCAACAATATTCGAACCTTTGACGAGCTCAGCGCAAACCAAAATCCAAAAATCAAAATCATCGCTACGCCGTCCAAGATGCACGGAAAGCAGGAAAATGTGCAAATTTTGCTGTGACCAATAAAGATGTGCACTTGATTGATGTTAAGTTCAAGAATAATGTCCATATAATGTGTAAAGAGCTAAATTAAATACTACAAATATTTTAAAAGTCAAGGCCGTTATTTTCTGAAAATATTCAAAGAAAGATGGCGCGCTTGTAGATATTATAGTATGCAGAGATTCGGTAGTATTAGGAGATAACTTACATATAAGGTGTAAGATGTTCAGAGCGAACTTCAAAATGCAAATGAAAGAATTCATTATACCTCTAAGTCAAAAGGCTTAAGATATACTTTCTCATCAAATAACATAGAGGCTCAATAAAATCGTTTGATGGGACAGCAGATTTCTCTTCCACTATGCTTCCTTTAGCAAATTACGTTATTTATATATAAGATTTGTAGGTGTTTTCCGACTACAGTCCTTCAAAGCAGCTTGTCGACAAGAAATCTAGGTTTATTTTTATTGAACTGCTATTTCAAATGATGAAAGTTAATTGCTTTAACCACGCTGATCGTCGAGGGATAACTGAATGTCAATTATGAAAGTTCACAAGTTACACTAACTGCAATACAGCTCTGATTTATATTTGTTGATCATGTTAGCAAGTTTCTGCTATTGTAAATAAACATAGTATTAGAAATTCTAGCTTTATTTGTATAATAAATGTTTTGACCATGATTACGTTTTGAAATTGTTCACGTTTAATGCCTAAACATACCAAAAATATAAGTACGGCTATTTTTCATAATAAATAGAAAATAAAAGTGCTTGCTTAAATAATTTATTTGTTGAGTTTTAGATTCACATGCGAGCATCATGCACAAAACAAATTTCTCATAATCAAAGACTATAATTTTATTAAAATATCTGGTATATATATTGCTTATCCGTAAGTACATATTATTTAAAATGGAAGCATAACTTACTGGCTAAGTTTTTAGAATAAATATCACTTACAAAATGGACGTGATGTTTTACAGTGCTTGATTAAATCAAATCAATATCTCGAATCACTACAAAAATTCGTTATTAGTCAGTACTTTTTGTGATTTACATAGATATTTAAATTTATTAAAACATAGTTAAGTACATAGTAAGCTTTTAATACTTTGCTCAATGATGTTTTCGTTGCTAATTCAATTAATATCTTTTCTTTCTTTTTCCTTTATTTTAAAACTAAATAAATTACTAACTTTAAGTACATGAGTATGTGTTTAACGTCAACACGCCAATATACGAGTCATCGCTGATTCTTGCTAAATTTGAAATTTAAAAAAAATTATTGAAAATTTTTCTTTACCTAAACATACGCGATGAAATTGTTTAGCTACACCGCATATTCAATTATATTATATTTAGGGAAATTTTAACGATAATTATAGTCATATTTTATAAACGGGTTTTCGCATGATCATTTTCGTTTCGATCAGTTACACGCTGATCATTTGTATGATTACTGTGTACGGCAAAATGCCATCACTACCGTTCACTATTGTAATTTTCAGATATACATATTTCTGTAATTACTACAAACCTGCCAAAAAAATTATTAAGTATTGCTTTTACAGTAACGAAACCATGAAGATCACTGAAGATCAAATCCGCGCATCAACAGAATTTTCAGGACTTACATAAAATTTATGCACAAGGTATTTGAACAATGAAATTTCAAACACATATTCTCTTCCTTTTCCCAACACCCACAAGTCCCACATATGTTATATAGGATCAAAACGCACGTACGCTACCATTTGGTTTCTCCGAAACAGGCGTCACGGCCAGCGCCTGATTATCATATGAGTATTCGCCCGTTACAGTTGTTGGCGTAGTGCTATTCTCCGCCGGATAGCGCGTACTCACTGGTGTAGTCATCGTCATAACCGAACCTTCGGCGCCTAAGAAAGGAGAAAGCAGATTATAGAAATAAAAAAAAAATGATTCTATTCATTCGTTTTACCTGTCACGCTGTAGATCTGCGATGGCGCTCGCTCCATGGCGCCATTTATGGCCATCACATTAGGTATTGTCGCACCGATGACCATGTCTTTGCTGTTCACTCCAGCGCCGGCTGCTTCATGGTGTTTGTGCAGCTTCTTTAGCAGCAGCGTACCGAAACGTTTGCATCGCAGCCAGCGTACACATTTGTAGATGTAGCGTGCAGCGATAAGCGTGAGCAGCACGATCAGCAGGATCAATATGGTGTTTTGTTGTTCGTGTATGCTGTGTATTTCGGCTTTGAGCGGATCGTATATTTTGTAATCTAAAAGAGATGAGTTTGAAAAGAAAAGTTATTTCGGATGAATTAGTAAATTAATATTTTGTTTGTTGTTGCTTTCTCAAAGTTTCTCTTGCTTCAAATTTGGTTGCAGGTAGAGTTGTATTTCCAACCTTTCCAACTTTGTGTACCCTGAACAGGTATGTATATATTCGAACTGATTCGATTCAGTCATGGTCGTCTGTCTGTCTACATATACATAAATTAGTTCATCATATTTTGAGATATCGCTCTGAAATTTTACCTACGTCCTTTTCTAAGCAAGAATCCGATCATTTGTCGGACCACTATAGAATAGAGCTGGCATACAAACTGATCGATCAAAATCAAGACCTTGTATGGAAAACTATTCTATTTTACAAGATATCTTCAGGTTTCTATACAAAATAGTGGCAGCTGGGCCAATATGCGGACTTAGAATCACCGTCGTCCTCTTGAAAAGGGTCAGTCCGAAGAATGGCCTGTGTAATGTCGACATGTAATTTTTTTTAAACTCAAATACCTATTTAACAAAGCCTGAAAGCGAGCAATTTGATTCCTTGTTCCTTACTCCCAGTAAAAATTATTAAAGTTAGATAAAGATTTAAGGCCTCAAGACTGGCATAGTTCCTTATATCTTCTTCTTCAGTTCCAACTATTTATACTTGTATATTAAAACGACTTCCGATTTCTCACACCTAGTAAAAACCTCACTTCCTCACTTTTGCTGCACTTGCAAATTCTTTCATCATGATGTCATTTGCTCTAGCTGTTTGGCGCATTTTTTTTATTGTTTTGTTAACAGATAACGTCAGCCGTTGAACACAACGAAAAGTCAGTTATTAAATTAAAAATAATAGTACCTGCAATTGTTTCAAAATACAAAAAGTCTATGCAAATTGCAATTTACACACGCTCAAAGCTTTTCTAAAGAGTGTTCTTCAAAGCGATGTGTTGAAATCGTAGAAAGGTCGCACAATTTTGCTTAAAAAAGCTTGTCTGTATGTATTTAAACAACACACCTAACCACTATGCAATTATTGTTTATTTGTTGTTTATTTATGCACTTATATTTACCTATGACTTTTTGTTGTTAACGGCAGCTCAAATTGCATTGCACGCCAAGTGGCAATTGATTTGCTTTAGAACTTTTTTCTACTATGTTTTATTTATTCAATTTTTTATCAAGCCACATTCAATTGACATGCGCTTGAAAATGAAAATGGAGATAATGAAATGTGAATTTTCCACGTATTAAATTTAATTAGATTATTAGGCATTATGCACGAAATTCAACACTAATTACCTCGAGATTTCATTGGAATAAGTTTAAGTTAAAAAAATTTAACTTCAGCAGCACCAAAGCACCAAAGGGTATAAAATAATCCTTATCTTGATTTTGAACGATCAGTGGTATAGCAGCTATATGCAAATCATCTTTTTGGGAGTAAAGAACGTCTGTAAAACAAAAGTTGACAGTATTGAAGAAAGCTTGGTACTCCTTTAATCCGCCCAGCAAGTCACGACTACCGTAACTCCAATACATTGCAAGAATTAGCGTGGGAACTAACACATACACAACGTGCAACTCATAAATTCTGGAGCGTAGGGCATAAACAAACAAACAATAAAGGCATCAACAATAACATGAACACAAGAGTTTCGGTTAGATTCGTCAGTTGGGCCTTAAAGGCTCATTCACATACAACTTTCCTCGCTTTGCGTAACAGTTCATACTGAAACAACGAAGCGGAGAAACCAAATGGTATGCGACAATGAACGCTTTGCTTTCAGTGTTTTTCTCAAATAAAAACGGCGACTGTTCCTTCGCAAAGCGTAAAAAGTTGAGAGTTGCTCAAGTCCAGTCGAGAACTTTTATGTGAACGTACTCATACAAAAGCGTACATCGAACATTTCTGTCAAAACAAATGTCTGACGCAAAGCGAAGCAAAAGTTGTATGTGATTTAACTATTAGAAACCCGTAGAAACTGTAACAGAAATCTCTGGTCTTGGGTAACTAACAAGTATATTATCTTGTACCGTATTCAACTCGTTAACTTATTGTTTACTTTCACGTTTATATTTTTTGAAATGAGAGCAGCGCTAAAAGATAGCGAGCGGAGAAATAGTAAAATGATAACGACTAATCTTCCTTTCTCCCTCTTTAGTACACAATCGGATACATTCTTGTACATATTGTAGAAGGTAGTAGCGAAATCGGTACCCAAATTAAGGATGAATCTCTACCCCAGTCGAGATAGAATGTCTTCCATACCTTACAGTGCAGGTGGGTAGAAAAACTTTAACATTTTTGTTTCAAAATCAACGAGTTGTTGAATGGTGTTTTGTTGAAACTCACTTTAGAGCACAATTAGTCTATGGTAATTTTGGTTTAAGCGAGACGGTCCGACAATCTTTCGATTTTACGCCGAAGTTTAGAGAGTGATCAACTTTTTTCTGGTTCTCGATGTAGAATATGGTATCCTTAATACATAAATTAAGAAGAGGTATAAGAGATATTCACAGATATTATTAGGAGTTGTTCTTCAGTTTGAGAAATCGCTGATTTCAGCATTTGATAATACCAAGCCAATGCGTACCATAAAAGCAGTGACAATTTAAAGAAAGATTACCAAGAGATAAAAATTATTAAAACAAAGTAATATTTGTTTTATTTCTATGTACACGTATTAAATATTATATTATTGCCATATAAACAAGTTCACTTACCGGCACATTCCCTTGCACAGGTATCCGCGTGAAAATTTTGCGACTCCGGATTACAGATGGGTTCACATTGATCACAGCCTTCGAGGAAGTTTGAGCAGTACTCTTCAACTGGTTTACAAATCTTGCCATGGCAATCCTTGATGCCAGCCGTTTTGCCACCCGCAGCTGCCTTGGCGACGGCCAACGAAGTCGGCAGCAGCAAGGAGGTAAAACGGAATGCCAGTTTACTTGCACTAGAACCGAAAGGCATGTCGGCAGCACGAGTATGTTTATGTGCGTGTATTATGTGATTTTACTATCTTTATTTTTTACTCAATTGTATTTCCGTTTTGTGTAGTTCGTTTTGCACGTAATTTTTTTTCTATACTTTTATTTGATTGCTCTATTTATTATACTTTGTCATTTTTGTTGCAATATTATTTCGCGACTTTTCTAAAATGGCATAGAAAACAGCTTTTACGATTTGTTTACTTGCATCTTAACAGCCAATAAATAATTATTAAAATGTGTAAAATATGTTGTTATGCGGCTTGTCACGGAGTCAATGCACACACACACACACACACCAAATATAATTGTGTGTTCTTTTAAGTTTCTTTTTTTCTGTAAGTCTGTTGTTGTCGGCAACTGGTTGGTAAATAAATGTGTAAGTGGTTAATTGGTTGGCTGTTAAGCAGCTTGTTCAGGCCGTTGTTGGTTGATAGCAATCCGGCCGTGATGTTGATGACTCATACGCAATGATCAGTGAGTAGTGGACTTCTAAAGGTCTGTACACACGCACCGCGCACAAAAACATTGCTATGTGGCGGTTATACCAATTGGTAAGTGGTTTTGTGTATAAGTATGCAAGTGTATGCGCAGGTATGTTTTTGTAAGGCTCAACGGATTTTTATTCAAGCTGCACGTTGTGGAGCTCTCAACTATTTTTGGAAATAATTATGGTTTAAGCATAAGTTTTGAACATTTGTTTTCATAAGAGTGGGAATGGAGTAATCAGCCAGCAAATTCAGCATATAGGTTAATAAGATCATATTTGAAAATGTTGCCAAAGATATCATAAAAAAGTTAAGTGTAATTAAATAATTTGTGAGGGCTTCTTAGTCATTTTGCATTCATATCTAAAGAGTTTCACTGAAGTAAAAAAACTATTTAGTGTTTTATATAGTGTGGGATCTTATAAAGATCGATTAATCCTTAATCGTGGCTTGATAACAGAAAATTCATAAGATATAGTATTAAGAATATGTTTCAAATATTGTTTAAGAACTTTTTAGTAGTTTTGCATGGATTTCAGAAAAAAAAATATTCGTGACATTGTGAAACTAGAGAAAGATCGATTTATTCTCGATCGTAGACTGTAGACGTAGATGTCTGGAAAATTCTGTTTGTTTCTAAAACACTTAACAGTTTTAAGGTATATAAATACGAATTTGATTAAATATTTTTCATATATCTTCCTTAGAGTTTATAGTTTTCTTGATAGCATGTGTCAAATCCTCTTGAAGGAGAGTAGAGCTGTGGTTTATTTATATAAAAATTTGTTAGTGATCAAATCATTTGTCTGCGAGTAATCATTCAAGCAAGTTCAAAATATGCTGTTCCAAGAAAATGCGTTTAAAGATAAACTCAAGAAGTCAGGGTACTTTTAAAGGTATAACCTACCAAAATGTAAAATTTTTTTTTTTTTTAATTTGAATTTTTTTGACTTCCGTTCCAAATTAGAGGGCAGAAATCAAAAATCTGTGTTTTGGATACAATTAGTGGAATTTCGAAAATCTTTGCTTGTATTCAAATATGGATAAACACTGGAAAATCCCATTTTTATGACAAATACAAGTTTTTTCTTTAAAATCGAAAAAACTGTCGCATGTCATATTACTAATGCCTTTTAGTAGCTTGCAACCCACAATATTAAAGTACTTTCAACAGTTTTGAACTATTTTTTTCATATATTTTTCTGTTTAAATAAATTTGAAATAAAATGTTCGTTCGCACTTTGTACATTTTCAAACTTTTATTTAATTATTTCACTGCAATTACATATATTTTTACAAATTTATTTTTTCACCTTCACGCACCAAAAGCGCTTTTACGCTATGCAGAAACTGGTTTAAGCGGTTAATGGCGAGCTCAAACGCACTGCCGATACACTTAGCCAACTTGCTTGCTACACACAAGACTGCTTTTCAAGTTGAAATTCACAAATCCACGGTAAAATTATGCAAGCGCCTTCCAATGATTTTACAGTTATGTTTTTAAACTTTTCAATTTTTTAAATTAATTATTGTTATTAATTAAATTATTATTTTTTTTTATGTAATTAAAATTAGTCGTATTTCGTATGCTAAAATTTCTCTCCACACTTGTATTTACACACTCACATATTGCAAACGCTTTATTTACCCGCTACTAGTGCCCGCTTTGAGCCAAACTCAGCCAATAACTAAAGGTGTCGTATTTAAACAACAAAACTTCACTTCTCTACCGACTTTTGTCGGTTGTATGCCTACATACATACACATATACTTACATATGTACATATCTACGAATATTACGAGTTTAACGCTCAGCGATCGTTCGTTGTTCTGTTGTTGTTTTTTATTTTAATGTGGTTTACTAATACAAACACAAATGCGCAATTGAGTACTCGGTAGGAATTTTCCGTAAAAAGACTGGTGTTTGGATTTTTGAACCATTTTACTCCAACATGAAAAAAATAGACACTATTTCCGAGGATATAATATGAATATGTATATATTATAAATAATTTTTCTGACACGCATCATTTACTTTAAGTAGATATCGGATATGAGGTGGGAACTGGAGCTACCTCAAAACTTATAACTATAAAGCATTTTCTGGCAATTTCTTTGATTTCTATATCTGAGACTTATTTGTGACTATTTTCTTATAGCTTTAGAAACTCACTTGAATACCTTTATACTAATTTGGAGCTCTTCATAACAAAAAATAATATTTGTCATTACTAATTAAAAAAATTAACGATTTATTGCCTTAACTATGCTTTATCCTATGTTTTAGCTTAAAAATTTGTTCGTAAAGTACAACAATTTCAACAAGATTTAAAGACTTCATTTTTAAATAGCAGAAAAGCGAAAAATGCTCTGGTTTCTTCGATATATTTTCTTTAAATTTGCTAAACATTGCTATTTTTTTTATTTTTTAATGAGACTTCACTCAAATAGTCAAAAAGTGAGAACAAAACATTCGAAAATATTATTGTTAAAATTATTAATACGTGACCTTATTATCATCCACAATATATAATATAATCCTTAAGAAAAATATTATTTACTTGTATCCACTATATCCTAGTAACTTTTATTCATAATATCTCATCTGCATTTCCTACAGGGCAACTATATATTTGACGTCATTTTGTCAACAACAATAGTCAGGCAATACAATCGGTTTGCTGCCAATTTTGCTCGGTTAGAAAACCTTTCTCAAGTGTCAGTAAACGACAATCTATTGCCTTTAACGACCAAATGTCTCATATATGTACATATATGTTGGTATGCGTTTGTTTATAAGTAGGTAAATGTCTACTTGAAACGTCAATGCATTTGAGTGACTTTCATACAGTTGAGTTATTGTAGATTTGAGCTCAGAGAATATTTTATAGCAAATATGAGTGCTTACTATGTATGTATACAAGTACAAGTTATAATTGTTAACTACCTGTTGCTTAGTGCATAGCACAGAGTGAAGTACTTTGAAGAGGCAAGCAAGTTGACGTTGACTCACTCAATTTCAGTTGAAAGTTAGTTATTTTCATTGCTAGATTTTATGATATGTAATACAAATAACGGAAGAGATTCCTAGATCTATTATGAACAACAAAAAATAAAAAATAAAAAGTAAACAAAAAAATATATATTATATATACCTAATATATAAGAAGAAATAAAAAAGTATTAGAAAATTAAAAATTATTATATTATATTATAAATTATTAATATAGTGAAACAGTTTTTTATTAAATTCTTGCGTATACATGAGTACCTACAATTATTATTATGAGTATATACAAATCTAGTGGAGTTGTCTTATGCCCGCTTCAACTCAAAACTGGTTTTCGTTTAAAAACAATGCAAATGAGTTTAAAATTTTACACAATTTATACATACATACATACACATAAGCGGAGGTAATACCAACAATTATGAAAACAAATAGGAAATGGAGACAATAGCCGCACTATCACATACGCATTTGAGTAGTAGACTCTACACCAGCGCCAGTTCAGTGCGGCCAATGAAAACGCCGGTGAAATGGTCAACCACAATAGCAGCATTGCTTTAGGTATAGTTTGAAAGGCTTTGTATTAATGACTGTAGTATGAATAAAATTAGTTTTCGGTAGTTTTTTCAACAAACAATAACTTCAAAGTGTTTTTGGTGATGTGCTACTCAAGTTTTATATTAAAAATTTTATAATAAAGTGTTGGTAAAGAAAATTTTGACGTTTCAAGTCATAAGCACATAAAAAATGGTGTTATTAAGTAGCTTAATGTATTACAATGCTTTCCAAACTTTAAATTTATGTTATGAGTTCCACTGGCAGTGCTGCCATATTACTATAATTTTATTTATGCTGATTTTTAAACGATATATATTTCGCCAATAATTCAAAAATTCACAATTAAGCTGCCAATATGATAATTTTAAATGTATTGTGAAAACATAGTATATGGAAGTTTTTGCTATTCTTAAAGCCAGTCGAATAATCAATTATATTTAAAACAGTACATATTTATTTATGTCCAAGAAAAAATTATTATCTCTTTGCTTCATCTTTCTACTAAAAAATATATACATATGTATGTTTAATAGTTAAACGTAGCGTATAGGGATATGCGACCTTGGAAAATAATAATAATAAAATGAAAAAGTTTAAGTGGCAACTCTGTGCCATTTCAGAGGGAAAATTTCCCTCTTTATCTCTTTGTACTTTCAAATATACATCTTATAATATATAAATAAAAATCTATCTTATTAGAACAATTATAAATTAAGTGGCAACTTTGTGCCATTTCCGATGGCAAATTTCACTCTATATTGTACTTACAAATATTTATTTTATTATATTCATATATAATTAAAAATCTAGCAAATAATAAACATTTATAAATTAAGTGGCAACTCTTTGTTCTTCCAGTTCGCAAATTACGCTCTCTGCACTTTCAAATATGTATGTTATTACTATATTAATACGACAACAACACACTTTCCAACGACAATTCACCGCACACACACCTACACACATACATACATATATTTTACTCATTATATTTATTGTTGTTGCTAAATTCTTGTGCATTTGTTTTTGTTTCGTTCAAAACAACACTCGCGTACACCATGAATACATCTCGTTTGTATTTGAGTTAGGCACTCACTTAAGCGCTTGTTGTTGTCGTTATAGTTGTTGGCAGTTGGAGCAAAAGGTGTGTGGCGACGGTGGCGGCAGGCAGCATACTCGCGTACAAGCAATTGCTGTGTGCGACACATTCACGCTGAGTCCACCGGCCATCCATCCAACCAACGTCGAGCATTAATTTGCGGACGTGTGAGTGAAGTGGTGGCACAACGGTAGTGGCGCGCTAGTAGTTGGCGAGTAAAAAACCAAGTGCATTCGAGCAACGGACGACACACGACGAGGAATGCAGCTGCTGCGTTGCAGCTGTGAAAATACTTCAGTGATTTCGTTTGAGTTTAAAGAACATTTTTTTCATATTTGCTTATTCTATTTTTGATTAAAATAAATGCATTTAGTGTGAGTGTGGTTTAAAGTAAACTTTTGTGGAAGAAGTGCTTCAAGGCGAAGTGTAAAGTGTAGAGTGGGTTGAAAGTTCAGTGATGAAATTGAGATTAATTGAGAACCATACGCACTTGATTGAAGCAATTGCTGGAAAAGTGTGTTTTTGTTGTTTTCATTGTAGTTGTTTTTATTTTTTGTAAGCGGCTGTTGGCTTGTTTGAGTGCATGAACGCTCTAAATTGCCATCGGGTGAAATAATAATGAAAACATTGGTACCGTTAGGCGCATAAAAACACAACACGCGGAAAAAATAACGCTAAATATAGTGGAAAAAGCAACTTCGCAAAATAAACAGCAAACGTTTGGCGAAAGTGCATGCAGCGTAAAGTGCAAAGCAAAGCGATTGAGACGGGCGTGGACTAATTAAAAAATAGTAAAAGCAAGAAAAACGTTAACTTCGGCTGCACCGAAGCTGTAATACCCTTCACAGGCGCATTTCTCACAGCATAACAGGGTATAAAAAGACAGCAGACTTCAGCTCGATTTTGATCTGTCAGTTTGTATGACAGCTATATGATATTGTCTGTTCTGTTCTAAACAAGTGCGCCAAATTTGAAAACTTTGTGTGAAAGTTACCATATATCCAATAGTGGTCCGATAAACCTAACAATGAGCAGGTTCTTCGGTAGAAAAGGAAGTGTGCAAAATTTCAGTTGGTTATCTCAAAGACTGAGAGACTGGTTCGCATGTAGACAAACAGGCAAACCAACGGACAGTTTGAAATTTCTACTTTATTTTTTTTTTGTAACATTTTTTTTTCTTTTAATTTTTTGTAACTGTTGTCATTAGGCCCATATCAACACTGCCTAAACGCCGCTTGAGCACAAATACGTTTACGACGCTTTGATTTCACATATTTACACTCATTTATATATACCTACATATACTGACGGCATTTATATAGCGATTTAGTTTAACAGCAACACTTCCGTTGCTTCCAATTTCGAGATTTTATAACAACAACAGCAACAAAAACACTTGAGTTTCCAGTAAACACCTGGCTTGTTGTGGCGATAAACTACCCAAATAGACACATACACACATGCACATGTACCGATTAGATGACAAAAACAAGTTCATTTATAAACACTTCTAATATACTTATATAACAACAACATGTATTTATGTATGTCGCGCTCCACACTCAAGTCGCCCTGCTTTTGCACGCTCAGCGTCACTTTGCTTTGCTTTTGAGTGATAGCTTTCAACAAGTCGGAAATATCTGCTCTTATAATCAACCACACACTGGAAATGTGTTCTCGTGCGATTAGCATCTCTAAGCTTGCGGAGCGCCGCATTTTTCCTTTCCGCATTCGTCCTTGAGGCAAACTGCTCTCAAATTCAAGCCGCAATGCAATACTATTTTGTTATGTGTCTTTATTTTTTTTTTCCAACGTAAGAAAATTTGTATTTCTCTATATTCCTTTCCAGTTCTTAACCTGTTTTCTAAAACACTACAACTAAGTCGTTTAATTGTGCGCGCTTTGTGTAATCGCATACATATCTATATACTATTTGATATTATTTTTGCTCATCGCCGGCGAAATTGTGTATAAAAGCGTAAAACAAAAAAGTGAAAAATATGAATAACTTGACAAAAACTGAATTATTACCAAAGAGCGGGCATGTCAACGAAGGTGAGTGGATATAAATATATGTATATATATATACATTTATTTACCGTATATATATAGAGTTGTAAGCGTTTATAATATTTGAATAAATTTGCTTTACTTGAGATAAATTAAAGATTCCAAAATCCTTATGAAACTCTTCTGCGCCTCTCTTTCTTGCCCTCCTATAACCGACCTTGACAGATTAAGGTTAAGCTGCGCTTCTTAATTACCAAGAGCATTGTGTTTCTACCATACGAATAACAGTCAAATATTGACACCGCTCATTATAAATGCATTATACGGGTGCACAAAAGAATGTCGCTAACCCAAAAACTGAAGACGTTTCTTCGAACCTATAGTTTTAAGTAGAACTGGAAGAGGCGAAGTGAAAACACACATCAGTAGACATTTTATTAAATAATATTATATGTTTATATATTATATTACAATTATATATTTATTTAATAATATTTAATTATGTAATTAAGGGCTCTGCGAATTTCTCTAGATCCAATGAAGTCAGTACCATACTTAAATTCTTAGATAAAGTTGAATTTTAATTTTTTTTCCTGAAGTAAAGCTCCAAGCCCTTACATCCAACTAACTGAGAATGAGTTTTATACCAGTATATTTTACGATTTGTAACATTTCACGAACTTTCTATAAACAAACAAACCACAATTCTTTCATCTGTTTAACCTTCAGGTAAACTGACATGAAATATGTTTAATTATGGCAGTCTATGTTATTTATACCAGTTGAGTTTTTGGTTCACGATTCTATAAAGTAGTTAATAAAAAACACAACTAAATTATCTGCCTAGAGCTTTTGTTGACCTGACAGGTGATACTTATATATGGTTATATCAGTTTATGTAATTTATACCAGTTTTTTGTTCATTTCGTTACTCCCCGTGACAGTTTTCAGTTGCATTGCAGCTGTATTATATTCTGCCTAGTTCCGTCATTAAAAGTTGAAATTCAGAATACGCATGCTAGCAAGTCGCCTGACACGCTCCGCTTAGTGAAAGCTATACAGAAACTAATTGAGCCGTTACAGTAGCCTCCAACGGGATGAACTTAGCATCAAATCATATTCGTACTATATATAGAGGCTCTTGCTCTCACTCTCTCCCTAACCACGCGCTATTGTTTGGTATTTTACATATTTTATGCACCTTCCCTTTGAACTATTTTAATAACAACACCTCTTTGATCATATTATTCGTACAAAAAAAGTTAGAGGCTCATAATTGCATATGTAACATTTTTATCAAATCATAAGCGAAACAATCACAAAACATAACAACAGTTAATAACGAAAGACTGTTTTGCAACTTTCACACCGTTAACAACAAAAGAAATGATATTAAAACATGTATCCATATATTATACATATATACATAAGTATATGTAGTATATGAATACCATATGTATTTAATGAAAGTATAGACCTAGGTAACCAAAAGCAGTTGGAAGCTGCCGGAGATGGGAACAAACTAACGCATAAGTTGTTTGGTGTTTTTTAGTACAATGACTCGAAAGTACTGGCTATAGTGTGAATATAAGACTGTGAAAATTTTGAAGACTGCATACATATAACTTTGTTTATTTTTACCGCAGTTAAAGACAGCTGAGTGAATTGGCGAATTAGTTACCCAGTGTTTAAGTATACTTGTATATGTATGTATGCATATGTAAATACATGTGAAAATCGTACGGAAATTTGACTTTTATCTCGCAGCTGTCTGTTTACATTCACATACATATACCTATAACAAATTTTTAACAAAACACCGTAAACGTTGAAAATTTTTTATATGAGGAAAGAGTAACGCCAAGTATACAACTTTCCAATTGAGTATTTCAACACTTCTGTATATACTCATACTTATATGACTATTTATTTATTTATTTCTCTATAGACTCATTTGTTTGTTTATTTGGTTATAACAAGCGGTTTCATTGTCAGCTTTTCGCACTCGAATGTTTAGTTAGCTATTTTTGAATTTTTATTCCAAATCAAATACGCTAAAAACCTCAATAAATTGTGCGCAGAAGATGCACACACACGAGGAATGATAATAAATATATGGGAATTAATAAAGAAACTGAAAATGAGCAGGTAAAGATACTAAAACAACTAATGCATATGTGGTTGAGGTATGTATACTTATATAGATACTTTGACAGGTCATAATCACATAAAAAGATCGATTTATAAAAGCGAACGATGGATTGTTTCAAATCAGCCACCTGGCTATGACTAAGTTGACTCAAAGAAGCTCGAACCGTTTTGTATTAGGATACTGGAAAGGGATGCAAATAGAGACACTCACTCAAATTTATGTAAATTTTCATATGCGAATATACTGACGATCATATACGAGAGTGATCCAATAAAAATTTATCCTTACCGCCCAATGGCGCCAAGATCGCAAGATAGTGATGTACATTTTTATAGACGGCTATTGACTGTCCAATTGGGCTCAGTCAGCGTATCCAAGGATTAAAAAAATGCAAAAAAGATAGTTTCGGTAAGTGGTTCGATTCCAGTTTTTGGGAAGAAAACCGGCCAATGAAATAAAAGAGCGTTTGTTAGCGTTATACAGTGACACTTCTTCTACGATAACGACCATCAAAAATTGGCTTAACAAGTATCGGTTTTTCGAAAACGGCTAACATGAAGGATAATCTGACAAAACTCCACGATCTCGTATTGACAGAAGACCGATTGAACGCGCGCGAGATTACTGAAACAATAGGCATATCAAAAGATAGCCAGGGTCATATCCACCTTGAAATATTGGGCACGAAAAAGCAGATGAAGGGATTTGAGCCCACCCAGCCCAACAAGCGTAACCGTGAGAGTGGCCCACAGTAATGTTTGATGCTGTGGAAATGCAGAATTTCTGCGCCGTTTCGAGAAAGTCCAAGAAACTTGGTCCCACTGTTACACAGCAGAGACCAAGGTACAGTCGAAATAGTGGAGTTCAACCGCCGAAGCTCTACCGAAGAAGACGAAGACTTCACTGTCGTTTGAAAAAAAATGAACAGCGTTTTCTGGAATTCATAAGGTGTGATCTAGATTGACTACTTGTAGAAGTACAGAACTGTTACATGGCGCTACTACAAAGTATTACTGGACCGATTCGACGCCGATTTGCAAAAAACAAAAAACATTTAGATTTAGCGAAGAAAAATGTGCCCCTTCTCCATGGTATCTATGATATTTTTGGAATTTGGCTAATCCGTATTGTTTTCAAACTTGGAAAAGTCACTCACACAAAAACTTGAGTTGAATGAATAGAAGATTTCCAGAAAACGTATATTTCAGACGGGTTAAAGAAGTTGGAGCAATGCTGGTTCAAATGTATCAAGCCCAAAGAGACCATATTGAGCAAAAAATTTATCGAATCGGCTTGGTAGGTGTCGTAAACCAAATACCGTTGGACTTACCGATGTCATATTTATAAGTATATATTCCAATCCAGTTAAAGTTATTTTATGATACGAATCCAGATAGGGATGACAACCAAATTCAGATATACCATAAATCTGAATCCAGTTACCGATCCAGATAAAGATTTACAGCTACATATCTAGACTATCTCAGCAACACAGCAAATTTTAAAAAGCTCCTGCACTAACGCATGTGGAATGTTATTTTTAAACTAATGAAGTCGTGCGATGAAGGCGCCAATCAATGCCATGTGGCACACGCACACGCAGGCACTAATACTAAATGCCGCATGCACATTGTAACTACAGCTGCGTGCTGCCATTTTCCGCCTCATTTTGTTTTAATGCAACAGTTTTGTGCACGGAACGTAGCGTTGATGCTGCTGCAGTTGCCACAATTTGCTGCAAAGTGCAGTGGCACGAGATGATGTGTCTACAGCTGCCGCAGTTGCTGTTGATGGCTTTGTCGTACTCATCAACATTGTTGGATTTGCTGCCACCACTGTAGTTGTTGTTTTTATGTTTATTGTTGGCATTGCTGCCGCTGAATTGCAAGTTGCATATTGCGGCAACAAATGCTTGATTTGCTGCCAAGTTGGCGTGCATGCGGCGCACCGTTCGACTGACGGTTAGTTGTTGCAAACAATGCCAATAATTGCTGTTTCCACCGCCAACAGCAACAGAAACAACAGTGTAAATGTTGGCAGTCACAAAAAGTGTTATGTGTTCAACGGACACGGTACAGTTTGTGCGGCAGCATCTGCTGTTATTTACTGCAATTACTGTTGCACGTATATATATGTATGTGGTTGTTGTTTGGCTTTTTTAAAGTTCCCTATCATTTTGTGGTTGCTGCTGGTGTTTTTTTTTGTTGTTGTTTGTTTTTGTTGTAATTCTACCGCCGCTGGTGCAACGTACTGACCCTGCAACAGTGTTTCAACGGCTGCTGCATTTCATAGTCTACACGTTGTTGTTGTTTTATTGCATGCAACAACGTGCTGCATTGGCTTAGCGCTTGATTGACAGTCCCTCTTGCTGTTGAACGTCCGTCTAGCTAAGCGGCCGCTATGCCCACATGCAACATGCTTCACTTACGGTGGCAAGGAATGATTCATTTCAACACTCCGGTTTGGGGTTTAGCTAGTTTTTGTTATTATAATTTTTATTTCGGTCGCAACAAAGAAGATTCTACATTTTGCTGCACTTTTATGTGCCTCACCATCCGTCCATTACGCTGCTCTGATTTTATTTCGACGAATTAAAAGCATCCACATGTGCATAGAAGCATGGAATTGATCAAGAAGTTTACAGCTGATTTTAATTTTGAACTTCTGCACTCAAAAAACATCAATCAAATAAAGTATCTGCAGATCATCGAGGGATAATTTTTAAATGTTTGCCTGAACCACAAACAACTTCGAAAACATCAATCAAATATTGTATAAAAAAAATCATTTTCCGAATTTTTAGTAAAATAAGCACCGAAGCTATAATACCCTTCACAGGCGCATACCTTGTAGCAACTAAACGTATAAATAATTTTGAAACCGGTGCTCTATA